GGGGGGTAGTAATTCAGAGAATTTTGGGCCGTTGGGCAAGGGCACAATGTTAAATAACATCACATCACCTCCTGGGAGATCTACTCCCTTTCGAGTCTCTCCCGGTCCTTTGATTACACTAATGGGAAAGGCCTGGTTGGGTGCTGCTGGGAGTTTATACCACCTCTCAGGTCTTTGCAGTCTCCCAAAGAGAGCAGAGCAGGCCTGGGGCTCAGAGCCTTGGGCAGGCCACATAACTAACTAGAAATAAACACACCATTTAATCATATGTGTTTTTACGGGTGCCTTCTATTTTGGACAAGTGATGCTAATTTCCTATTTAAGATAGTACTGTAAGTGTCCTTATATAAACAGTGAGTAGTGCACAGGCAGGGTAAAAATCAAGAAGGTGACGTGTAGTTGGGTTAAGTTTGGGAAACTGTAGTGTAGCCATTTTGAACCTGGGAGAATTGAGACCCCAGAGGATAGAGGCTTGTTCAAAATCACCCAAAGGACAGCGTCCTAGCTTGTATTCTCACCCCTCACAGAGCCATGTTGGGCTCCTGCTGGGCTCTCAGACAGGATGTGCATTTGTATTGGGCCAAGGGGTCAAGTTCAAATCACGTTAGCATGGTTTCGAAGTTGGGGACCTGGCCTCTGCTCATCCCTCCAGGCTCAGCTGTTGGCACGTTCCTCTCTTGACTCTGGTCCTAGTAGACTGTGTGTTCCTCCTGGAATGTCCCTGTCCCCTCCCTGTGTCCAGGCCTCAGAACATTCCCATTGCCTGGAACCCGCTTCCCTCCGCTCTTCACCTGAAAACTCCTACTCGTGGTCCAGGCTTTAGTTTGACCTCGCCTTTTCCAGGAAGCCTCCCCTGACACCCTCCTAAGTCTGTTGGGTGACCTCCAATGTGTTCCCTCAGCCCCCAACAGTGTCCTGATACCTCTGTCCTGGACCATCAACAAATAGCTGTCGAGCAAACACTTGGAGATTCTTCGTGTCCTGGGCCCTTCACAAGCATCATCTTATTTAGTCCAACAGCCTCCTGAAGCCGGCACCACCGTTACCTTGTTCACAGAGAGGACTCGAGGCCACCCAGACTCCCAAGCCTGGATCTGTCCGGCTCCGAAGCCCGTGCCCCTGCGCCCTCGCCAGGCCCCTCCCTTCACTGATGACGGTTCCCCTGATTTAGAGCTGGTGCTCGGCGCACTCGGCCCTCTGCTCAGGGCAGACATGACATGAATAGATGTGGATTTAACGATCATTTCTATTTTAAAGTGAAAGGCGGGGGCTACATCACTTAGTGTGGCTGTCCATGTCGATCAGATTAAGCAGGTAACTGCTAGACGCTGCTCGGGCTTTAGCTCCAGTTCTGGGGACAGATCTGTGTTTGGATCCGGGTGTTGGCCCTCATTAACCATGCTTCTTAACTACTCTGGGCCTCAGTTTCCCCATCAGCTAAAAAGTGAAGGAAGACGATTCATGGAAAGCACTTGGCATAGAGCCTCGCACAGAGTTAAGGGCTCCATACATATTAGTAGCCATTATTATTATTATTATTATTGCTGCTATTGTTATTATCGCTATTCTTGGTTTTTCTTGCATAAGAGCGGCATATCAGTAGACACGTGTCCTCACCCCCACCCCCATCTGGGAATGTCACTGCTTGTTCTCAGAGACACTGACATTTGCGCAGGCCCAGCCAAGCTTGGGCGTGAACTGAGGTCAGGGATGTCCTGAGGCAGGCAAACCAGAGGCCAGATCTATGTGTGGATGCCAGGCGGAGTGTCCAGGACTGAAGTGGCTATGTGTTGGGGACAAAGAGTGCTCTGTCCTTAAAGACGGCTTCACCACCTAGACTTTGGCCACTGTGAACAAAAGCAGACCTCTGTCTGATAAGAACTCAGCATCCCCTGGGCCAGAGTGATGGGTCTGGGGAGGGCAAATGACCCAAGCTGGCCAAGCAGAACCAATGAACACCCACCCTGATGTTTTGTTGAAATTTGAGTGAAAGAAGCATTTTCCTCCCATTGGCTGGCTGAACTGATGGAATGTTAGCTGGATGGCATATTTGTCAGCGCTTTGGGAGGGTCTGCTTGAGAATGAAGCCAAGAGAGAGGGAAGCAGAGCTGGGAGATGTAATGGAAAGACAGATTCTCAAGGATGTATTTTTGAGCCCCTGGATCCAGCTGTACCTGAAGCTGAATATCCTTGGAATTTTCAAAAATTATGCCAGTTCGAGTTGATTTTTTCCCCTCTTGCAAATAAAAAGACTCCTGGGTCGGAGCCCAGTGGGTGGGAGACTGAGATGGAGAAGCTAAGGTGGGACCCCTTCCTCCAGGCCAGGCCCACTGACCTTGACTCTCTGGCCCTGCTGGTGGGGGAGAGATTCTCCAAAGCCGTCCCCTTGTTCTGGGGTGAGGAGGTGGTGAAGGAGTTCCCTGAATCAGAGGTGTTGCCGCTGTGGAGGTCCCGGCTCTTGCTGAGTTCCCCACCGGGGCTCTCCTTCTGCCCCCCAGACCTGCTGGAGCCGAGCTGCGTGGAGGGCGGCGAGGAGGTGTCGTTGCCTGAGTCGTACTCCTGGGAGCGTCCTCGGGAGGTGGCTCGCGGGCTGGCTGTTTTGGTAAAGAGGTCGGCGGCAGACCCCGCCCCAGGGATCTGAAAGAAAAACACCCGTTGGATGCTGCTGAGCGTGGGCCTGGGACTGCGTCTAAATAACCTAGAAATGTTTACCGTCATGATGCACTGTAACCAAAGGAAAGAGAGAGAGAGGGGAGGAAAGGAGAGACGCCAAAAACAAAAGCACAAACTCCTGAAAGAATACCACAGAAAGGAGATTTTCTTTTCTTTTCTTTCTTTTTTTTTT